ATAGTGTGTAATACACTACACTTCATTTCAAAACAGTGAGAGTTCATACAATTGGTAAAATGAGAATTGACAAAATGTTTGGTCTGGAAAAAGACAGCGACAGAAAGCAATTGAAGAAATTAGTAAAATTGTTAGTGGAAACTGGAGAAGATAGAGTATGATGGAAAGTAGCATTTTAAAAAATCAATAAGCAAAGGATGCTGTGTGTTCCAAACACTTTAGCACATGAGTTAAGCCATTAATAATGATTGTTAGCTGGTAATAAATTGCTTCTCTCAGGCTGTCAATGATCTATGTTTACCTCCAAGAAAGTGCCATTTAGCAGTATTAAATCTGCCTGCTCTTTTTTTTCCTGGGCATGTCTTACCCTTATCCCAAGGTGCCAGAGGAGCTGCCTATTATTCCTTACAGCTTGATGTGGCTTGATCATGCTTGTACCCTCTGATCACACCCACTCTCTCTCAACTTTTTAACCTATCGCCTTCATCCATTCACAAGCATTTGAATTACAAGAACCTTCTTTGACCTGTTGTAACAACAGAAATAGTGTTGAAAATGGAAGGAACTTTTTGGCTAATTTGTAGCTGTCATGACACTCCAGTTAACACTCATCAGATTTCACACATTTATCATCAACACTACTCACATAGCCCCAGGTTGTCTTCACAAATACACTGATCTCTATGGGACATCACCATGGCACTACACATGCAACTAAATTCACACTTCTATAACACAGCTCCTTGAAGCACATTTTCTTAAGTAGGGCCAAATTTGTCTCATCTCTGTGCAGGTATTATTTATTAGCATTCTGCCAGCTTTTCAAACTGCATTGTGCTTCACATTCACACTAGATATGAACAAAATGCAAAATGTTGGAAGAAGTAAACAAGTCCAAAGTGCAAAGTGAAATATAGATTGATGTGTCTCATGGAGACTTTGAAAAAGCCTCTAAACTCTGAATAGATCTCTAACCTATTTTGTCTCTAATCAAACGCATTCAATTGTATTGAAGGAATCCAATATTTTCTATTTTAATTTCAGATTTCGAGCATTCACGTCTGTTCCTTTTGTCACAAATATATTAATCATCCTTGTGATCAATAAGATACAAGTTAAACAAATCAATCAATCAGATATTTATATTCTTCCATCTTGTTCCACATCACACATATGATTTGAATGTATGATACCAGCAAAATATCAATTAAACAAATTCTTCTTATGTATCTATTAAATACCTACTTTGTTCTTACTCTTTAATACCTGCTGATCTAATCCAATAAAGGGTTTTCCTCAGAGACACTTAGTGATCCGATTAGTAGATCCCAGAGGATCATCTGAATATTTCTCCTTTGATTGAAAATTAGGTTCTGCTTCCCATCAGCAATTCAACATTCAGGAAAAGCATCACTCTGAACCAGCACACCCTAAAACTCTCATCTTAACAAAATAATTGGTCAGTGTATGTGAGAAACCTTTGTTAACATGGAATACAGCATTTATTAAAAATGCAATTTTGAGTGTGTTGTTAATTTGATAGAAATTGTGTTATTATTGTATGTTATTAAATACAAAGTGTCCTCAGTTGTTTGGTGATGAATATAGAGATGCACCAGAAATACAGAACTCTCACTGAGGTGGCATTACTGGCAGCTTCACTGCAGCAGGGAGTCTATTGCCGAAGGTGATGGTTTATTAATTCAATAGATTAACTTGATGGTGGCATGATTATCTGCAGACTTGGGCTAATGATCATGTTTCTTCTCATGGCAACCTGTTAACTTAGAGACTCCCTACTAAAATATAAGTTACTTCAGGAAAATAGATCCAGGAATGATGGCCAAACTTGAATTGATTACTGTGGCTTTAGTCAGGGGTTTACTTAACAGTCTTTTCTGCACTGAATGTCAGAAAATTATAAATGCAGAAAGTACTGTACAAATCTACTTCCTAATTACGACAGGCTAAAGGTTCTCATTAGAACTTGATGTTTAGACAACGTTATGTTAGTTACCGAATGTTACCACTGGGTAGATTTTTTAAAAGGCAGTGAATTAGTAAGGAGCTAATAGTTTAATATTGATGATATTTGCATGTAGCGGGCATTTTATGATGGGATAGATTTTATTTTCCCCGTTTAAATCCAAATGCACAAATTCGTGAAAAGTTGTCAGTGTTACAACGGATGTAATGTAGCGCAATTTTAAGTCAGTCAGTTACGCGATGTGAGAGTTCCTCTGCAATTCTCCCTATTCATGAAGACACGCTCACTTCACGATCGAGTGCGGGGTATCAGGTGCCACGCTTTTCACTAAAATCGGCCCATTTTCCATGTTGAGTATCACAGTCCCAAAGGTCACATCAGTTGACTTTCAATTAGAGCAACTGATTACAATCATAAAACGCTATCACGTTGTTTTGGGAGTAATCACAGGGCGCAAGAAAATAAAAGATTAAGAATTGTTCAGTCCCTGTGTTACATGCAAGAAAAATAAAACGTATCGTTTGAGACGTCTGGAACTTGGTGGAATATTACCTAATATTACAGAAGGTCTTCGTATTAATGACGAATTTTAATAATAACAAAGTTTAAATGGATCACCAACAATTTCAATCCATTGTCACTAAAATGTGCAAACTCGGTTTAGTTTAGTTTAAGTAAAGATCAAAGATAACATGATAACTAGCTGGTAATTACGATACAGTTAACAGAAAGCACATCTTATTCCATTTAACTTAGTATCAGATCTCCTCATTTTAAGGCTCAAAAGGAACACAGGGGGCAACTCTTGTTTCGGCCCAATGAGGAAAAAAATATCACGCTGGAACGTTTCTACTGGAACCTGTTGTTCGAACGGAAATAGCCAAGCATCTGCACATCAATCAAAATTGCAACTGTCGTATCGATATTGGACTGTGTCACTCTTACAGCGGGTAAATTTGTCCCAGTCATTGACACTGGTTAATATCAAAGGACACGTTAATCAAACAAAAAGCTCAAACAACAAAAATAGGTTGGAAACCTGAAATAAAAATCAAAAGGGAAGGATCTGGAGAACAAATCTGTCAAAAATATTGAACTTCATTACCGATCTCCACTGACCTAAACAAACATAAAGGAAAATATAAAATCCATAAAAATAATTGCAACTTCACCCATCCACTTTACTGCCCTTGCTTCAAAATCCAGTCCAACTTTTCTCAAAGTTGCCAAGAAAATTTCTTCAATTACTTCACAATATGGAGACTACATTGTTTTTGTGTGTGTTTTGTTGTGTTTTTGCTCTCTCTCATGTTTTGTTTTCCTTTGCCTGCTTTTCTCTCTTCAGTGATCAATTAGCCATTTGACATCAAAATTCAGAGAAGTTTCTCCTGTGATTAATCCCGAACAATGTTCACTCGATTCCGGGATATTCTGCTGGTATTGTCCCGCAAGAACTGGTGCACAGGATTTTTTTTTCTTTCTTTATAACCAAAGATCGAGGTTGCTTTTAGATGTTTTTTGTTTATACATTCAGCCACATTAAGGCTTATAATGATTGGAAATTATTGTAGAATCTGCCTCGGTCGCTCTGGGACAGCAAGCATTTAAGAACAGGGGGCGGGACAATGAAACCCAGAGACAAAAAGACAAAGTCATGGCACTATAGATTCCAAAAAGATTTAACTCTGGGATATAATGAATCTTTACATAGTGGACTTTTAATATCCCAATAGCTGCAACTGATGAAATGACATCTTGACATAAAATAGCACGTCCCTATAAATGAAGACAATTAAATAAGTCCCTTCACAGATAGACAGATGGATAGTTAATGATTGCGATGACTAACATTCAAAACATGCAAATATTATATTTGTGTTTGGTTTGAACTCATACAGGTTACACTAGTCATTTGCAAATTCTAATGATAAACTTTCAATATTCCTGCTGGTTACACAGGTCATTGATATATCAAATAGAGCCAACTGTTACCATATCTTCCAACAACAGGCAAGAAATTCCGCTTTGTGGAATAGATTAGGAAGATTAATAAATTCTCTCTCTTTTCCACCAATTCTCAGCGGAAAAATTTAACCATATGGAAGGCGAAAATTAGAATTTCATCACATTAGTGCAAAATGTAATGAAAAGAGTCGAACACCTGGGGCCAACTCTGAAAGACACAATTAAAAGGGTTTTAATGAAAGCGGGGAACAAATACATTGGTACCTCCAGTAATTCTGACACAGAGATTGATTTGCTGAGGGTGTTGTAGAATATTGGTTGCGACTGATGTCACAAGAATGAAAAGCTGCTATTAAACGTCCAGTACCATCAAGGGATATCAAAGTCAAACAGAATAAATCCGAAATGGGAAATGGTTTTGCACTGTTTCGGTTCAGCTCCGAGAGTTAGGGGGGGTTGGGGGGGGGGGGCGCGGAATACATAAATACACCTCGGCAATATCCTCCTCCGGTTTTATACTGGCCAGGTCTGCGTGCTCTTGACTAAGAGAGGGGGAGCAGAGAGCTGAAGCATTAAGTGCGTTCACTGAACGGTGAAAGTCGCCACACATGTCAGCGAAAGGCGTTTGTTCGATTTCTAACGGGACCAAAGGAAAAAAATGCCCTGGAAAACATATGCGTTAAGTTGTGTGTACAGATGGCTGGAGGAATAATGGAGCGGACGCCACCTCTCTAAGCTCGAGCTGTGCTTTCTTATCAGTGGAAAGTGGATGTGTACATTCAGCGTTACAGGGCTAGGTAGCCCTCCAGTTGGTGGGGGGGGGGGGGGGGGGGGGGGAGAGGGAGAGAGAGGGGGGGGGGGGGGGAGGGGGGGGGGGGGTGGGGGGGGGGGGGGGGGGGGGGGCTCGAAAGCGATCTGGCCGGCTGGCTTGTTTGTTACCGTTTTAATCCTATTAATTAAAACGTTAACCTGATTGGTGGACGCACGGTCCCAATAGGCAACCCTTCATAATAACCTGCTCTGAGATAATGATGTAAAAAGATTCCCGTCTGCTGATCACCACGGAAATATCTTGAAGGTGAATCCAACCAGATAAGCGTTAACGAGGTGTTCACCACCACCACCATCATCATCATCATCATCATCATCAGCAGCAGCATCGGGACAGAGCAAGGGTTCACACACACACAAAAAAAAACAGAGACAGAGAGAGAGAGAGAGTGTGTGCAGGCATCACCATCAAGTGGCGAAAAGATCAAAGTGAGGAACAAGTTGAGAAATTACAGATAGTTTATGCAACAACAAGGAGGAGGAGGGGGAAGAGGAAATCGCAGCCGGCGAGAATGGAAAGGAGCGTCCACCTGAATGGACCACAGGAGCAGGAGACTTTCCACTCGGCTCTCAGCGCCTCAGCCAAAAGGCTGGAGAGCACATTCCGGCCGGCGGCCGCCGCTCTCCAACTCTCGCGGGCCGAGTCCCGCTCGCCGCTGGTCTGCTACGAGGCGGCCGAGCCGGACGGAGTGTCCCAGCAGGCGGCAGCACACGGCGGTGGGCAGCAACACCGGGAGGGGAGCGGCGGGGACCAGAGTGTGGATGATGACAGCGATGAGCGCTGTGAGTTAATGTTAGTCCGGCAGGGTGGTGCAGACAGACCGGCCTCTCTGACCACTGGGGCTAGAGCAGAGAGCGGCTCAGCCAGTAAGAAAAACAAGGAGCAACGGGCCCTACGGCTCAGCATCAACGCCCGGGAGAGGAGAAGGATGCACGACTTGAACGATGCCTTGGACGAGCTGAGATCTGTCATTCCTTACGCCCACAGTCCGTCGGTCAGGAAACTCTCCAAAATCGCCACACTGCTGCTGGCCAAGAACTACATCCTGATGCAGGCTCAGGCTCTCGATGAGATGAGGAGGTTGGTAGCTTACCTCAACCAGGGACAGAGTCTCCCTACCGCCCTGCCCCCGGCTGCCGCAGCCGCCGCCGCCCTCACCCCCAGCCTCGGAGCCTACGAGCAGGCGGCTGGGGGTTACCCGTTCCCCGCCGGAGGACTGGCAGTGGCGGCGGCGGCGGCGGCTGCAGCGGCAACCGGAGCCAATTGTCCGGACAAGTGCACCGCCAATAACAGCAGTTCCCTATACAACAATGTCACATCCAGTCTCTGCAAACAGTGCAGCGACAAGCCTTAAATCAAACCACAAAAATGAAAAAAAAGGACAAGTCGCTAAACAGCATCAACAAACAAAAAGGGAAATCAAAATATTAACATGACCCCAGGTCACCAGGATGAACTTTGTTTTTGGTTTGGAAGTTGTATCTAAGAACTGATGATTTGTACATAAATATTGTTGGAAAAGTTTTTTGGGGGTCGAGGAACTGGGGGAGACGATCAACAAAAAAAAGTTTTTTTTTGTTTTGGAGCGGTGTATCTTTCAGTTTTGAACAGCTGTCCAGCCTCAGCAATATTTATTGTCACGGAGATTCCATCGCTATCACTAGCTACTATGGATTTATTTATATTAGTATCATCCAATGCTTTCTCAAAACAAAAAAAAATCTGTCTGCGGTGATTACGACTGCGATACAAGCTGCGTTCGTTAACTTCTCTTTAAACTGTCCTCGAGTTAAAGATAGAGCTACAAATGGCCATAAACTTGCTCCTTTTTTGTGTGCGTTTTCTAGACACAATCATCAGAATTGGAAAGGTAATGGAAAGGAAACCCGGAAATCAGTTAGTGTGACAAAGGAATTTGATGTAAATTTATTTCTTCAGAGTTGGGTTTTATAGGAAAAGGAGTTTATGAAACCGTTTAACATGACGCGGTTTTCTTTGTGTTTCACGTTACTGTACAGATTAAGATGTGTTCAAATATTTTTGTTACATTTCTTATAACAAAAAAACGCTATTTACCCAAAGTGAGTTTTTTGTTTGCATGACGGCACAGTGCCTGTCCATCTGCAATATATAAATATATAAATATCATATAAAGTATGTATAGAAGGGACTTGCGATGTTTTTACTGCTGTCGTGTGTTTGATTTGCAGTTTGTGTGAACTCTGGTGATAAGTTGGTACCACTGCCTCCTTAAAGGGTCTGTTGGCAGCTGATGATGTATGAAAGTGATTATGTACAAGCCTGCCCCTGATTATAATATATAACCATTTCTATGTGTCATCCGTGTTGGAAAACAAATTTATTAAACATATTTTGAACAAACGATATGTATTCAATTTTTTTTTGTCCCGTAGCTAATTTAAAAAGGCAGCAAAAGTGGCGCAGGTTAGGTGACATCATATGAAAGGCTTAAAAGTCTTGACATAATACCATACTAATGGCTTTTTGAGTGAAACAATCGCTTTAAGAGGTAAATCGGGAAAATGATCACCGCTAATACAAAAGCAAGACATTCTGATAGACTATCTGGTGGACAGCCTCATAGTCAAGTCCTCTCAAATCTCTCACTTTTAACAAAAAAGAAACATGTTGAAAAGGAAAATGTTGGCTGGCGTGACTGAACCAGATTTCATATAACGACATATGGCGTGGAACTGAATTGTACTCTACCACTTGATATAAATTTGCATTATACCCCTTTTCCCAGTTATTTCTGAAGTCATTTATGAATGCTTAGAACCAGTTACGCTAGAAATGTAATAACCATTTAAACTACCCTAGCGCCGAAAAAGACTTGGAGAATATATTCCAGATAATGGGGTCGGCTTGACCAGCTTTTAAGAGATACTTAGAGATACCGTTTGAACATTCAACGGAGCTGTTTGTGCTCAGTCCCCGGCTGTATGCCTTAGACAACACTAAACGTGGTAGGAACTGGAATTTTTTTTTGCTCCGCTTATTGTCATAAGATTAATCAGAAGCTGTAAGTTTTCAGGAAACATTGCTGTACCACAAAGCAAGGCTCGGCAGCTGACGCAGAAGGGTTCACTAGCCCGAGGCCAAATGAAATGTCTCTCAGCATTTAGATTACAAAGCCTCGGTACACCTAATTATGATTATTAAAACAATTTCCATGACGATGTCTAATATTATGTTAATTTGAAAACAACTGTGTATGAAAACTGTCGACTATAATACCTAAATTCATTTAATGAAACACATCGTTAAGGCAATTAAACCTCCTGGATGTGATTAAGGAACATAATTGCGACACTGTTCATTGCTATAATTGGGTGTCTTTAATCAAGGGGTATACTGAGGAGCAACACTGGTATTACTTTGTATTGTCCTCACTCTGCTGTCCATCACTCTGATTACAAATCAATCCCAGCTACCAGACTTTTTTTTGCATAATAACGTAATTGGATAATATTATAGTGAGATTTTCTGTCCAGTATTTTATTGATGTATCCCGCTCTGAAAACTGTCGTTTTATTTTAGAAATTTCACTGAGTAAAACTGGACCAATCTTCGAAAAGGGATTCGTGTTTTTTTTCGCTCCCTGGGCAGTTTAGCTTCAGTGATACAATAAGTACCGTATTATTTACAATGGGTGTGTCAAGTTCTCAAAACATTTCAAATCAATACAGATTGTGTAAGTCGACCGTCAGTCGCGTGTGTTACAGGTTAGAACACTGCTGATTGGATTGTGGAAAGATCCTTGTGTTTGACCGCAGTCATTACGTGTAGATTCAGCCAGTACCGCGGGGAATTGCCAATGTAACAAGGGGGCAGTAATATCCCAAACATTCTATTACAATGCAACACGACTCATAAGTCAATCGATTATTTATCCCTTCAACTGTTAAAACTACCAAGCTTAAACTTTCAAACACCACACGCTTGGATGGAGCTAGATTCCAAATCGATTTTTTTTTAGAAAAAATACATTTTATACGTTAGAAATGGACATAGTCTTCGCGAACTGTTATAATCTCAAACTGATTTTCTCCTATGTTAGGATCGCTAGCGCAAGCTTCACTGCTTCATCAAGACAGCAACAATGAGCGAGCTCCAAACGAGTGTTTGGGTGATCGGATCATTACGCCAAAAACGGCGGCAGCTAAAAGTGGCTTTGCCAATATTTATTTTTCTGCTGCTGTGCTTTGTTACTTTTAACACAGTTTTTTTGTTTAATTTAAATCACGAAAATATTTAAGCCTATTATTCCTTCGAGGGTACAACAGAGTCCCTGGTCGAAGAGTGACTAATCCTTGCTTGTCCCAGCATGAGTGACATTGACTTTCATAATGTAATGACTTATGAAAGATATAATCATGTGTTAAATTGAATCCTCCGTTTAACTGTTAATGGTGTGCTCAGGGCACATTTACGTATTAGATGCTATGGTAACTAATTACTCTACCGCTGGAAAAAAAGAGGCGATAATGCACTTTCAGACTTTGAGAAATAATGACCAGAATTCACAAGCTACAGTAACCATCGTTCTTGTTAGGTTTACACTGTAGGATAGGATAACCGGTGTTAATGTTACTTTTTCTCCTCGAGGATATACTTTCACGTTGTGATAATGAAAGGGAGATTGGCTTCATGCCCTCGAGATGTAGGCAGACTACAGATAAGGCACTGTTTACCCCCACAGACTTTGATACATATATATGACAATAAAGCTAATTCAATTCAATTCAATTCATTTACTAGACAGTGTAAAAAGAATATATTTCTGCCTGGTTATAGGACGATATAATTGTCTTGGATACATAACCTCACATGTACAATTCTTTGGGACAAAGCTGATTATAAATGATTGTTGTATTGGCTACTCCACTGTAGAATGTAGAACGAGGCGCTCTCATTGCATTTTTGATTTCGTTCAAGGGCACATTTACTTAAAACGTGACACATTTCACGGGGCCAGGCGTTTTTTTTTACCTTCCCCGCCATTAAACCCTATGCCTTAGCAAAACAGATTTGGTAACTTATTTTCGGTTGCAGAAAAGTTTACAGCATTAATGGAAACATTGTTTATCAAGAAGAAGACATCTTAAACACCAGCTTAGAAAGAAAGTAGTTTGTCATTGAAACTATTGCAGACACTACAGGATTGTGGACAAAAAGCAGATCCTACTATGATCGTGACATTTTGCGAGGAAGACTGAGAAATATATGTTTAATGTTAACTGAACAGATGTTTAACAATTTTATTTTACAATTGATTTTGTTTTCTCGGTAAGCCATATGATTTGCCAACCGGTCTGCGTTTTCATATTGAATTGATTGAGAGATTACTGTAGTTGATATCATTCTGACTGTACAATCTATTTCCCCAGTTGCATTTCAGTCTTAACCACTGTATCATGAACGCATTGTTAGCCCGCTAAAATACATTCACGTGCACCCATTCAGTCTTACTCTCAACCTCTGTTAATTTTTTTATTAATAACCAATCAGAAAGGCTGACACGTTATGGCAAATAAAAAGCTGAAGTTTATGATCTGTGGCAAGCATTTTATTATAACATTTCGAAAATTACATACTTGATAATCAAACACTACTCGGTAGAACACAACGTTGTACAAGTGATTCAGATATTTAGATAATACATTCAAAGTGACATCGTAGGATATTTTAATTCAGTTCATTGAGAGGGGCAGGAATAACAGTTATAAACTGCCATGAAAAATAACTATTTCTGTCTAGTCTCCTAATCTGTTTACTCAAACAGTCAAATTCCTATAACAATTTCTGAAACTATTGGTTCACTGAAGCATAAAATGAATCATTGCAGCTATAGATCTATGACTGATTACCAAGTTCAGTTAAGGACTGGACTCAAACTGGTTAAATAATCTTACAAGCACAGGCCTTATTTCATCAGGCAATAGCATATACTGGCAAATAATAGTTAGCAACTCTGTTATGTAATTTAGGACAGCAAATACTACGATTTTTCACTAATCACGGGTTTGCAAACTAGTTCCAAGACACACATTCAATATTTCACAAAATATTTTAATCCATCATAAGTCATCAATAAGTTTATAATTTCAAACAATGACTATCTCAGTACTATCTTCTAACACAACACAACTTTATCGCATCAACATGTGATAATAATGTCTGTTATATAATACAAATATTTGAAATCATATAAGAGGAAGATTGAAGTAATTAGTTCTGAATGTTCCTTTGCATCTGTACAAAGAATTCTATTAAGGTTAGTTGCTGCTAACCAAGGAAGGTTGCAATGAAATATTTCCTGATCCACTCTAGTTGATTTGGTCCCTGTAACACATTTCACTTACAAGTTTTTAAATATCCATTAATTCTGTGCCTTTGAATAGTGACTCCTAGCAGTTTGCTTGTATTTAAAGTGTACAATTTCTGTCCATGGCAGAAGATTTCATTTGTCAGGTAGGTACAAGCTCTGGAATTGCATTTTAGATCCCCAGTATACTATGTAAACACAAGCTGGAATATCTTACAAATTAACACTGATCAAAAAACATGATTTATTATTGTCAAAATGAAGAAATCAAACTGTACATGCTTAAATCAAATGGTTATTATTAAAGTGCTCTCTTACAGAATTTTATGAATGTTTGCTAAGATGAGAACATCAAGTAAATACAGATGTTGGCATCAGCCTAGTAGAGTTCATGCATTTCAGAAGTCATTTGACTTTGCAGTGGTCAGTGCTAGAGAATTTTTGTTTTTGTTTCAGATTTCCAGTATCTGTAGTCCTTTGTTTTATTTTACCAAATAAAAATGCTGGAGAGATTCATCAGGTCTGGCAGCATTTGTGGAGAGAGAAACAAAGTTAATGATCAAAATTCTTCAGAACTGAAAGTAATGAAAAATGCAGGATTTTATACTTTAGACAGAAGTGGATGAGGAGCGAGCATAATAGGTAGTGCAGAAGCCCAGTGCAAAAAACAAAGGGGTTGCTAATTACGGTGAAAGAGAAATAGTGACGTAAAATGGGTGTAAATTAAGATGCAGAAAGATGAAAATGAGATGTCTCAGCTTGTCAGCAAAGTAAAGACACAATCAAGACAAGGTGATGACAAATGGAGTGTTGGGGTGGGGGTGAAGAATGTAGGTAAAATAGGAGAAAGATGCCATGGGGTCAGGCTCTGAAGTTGTGGAATTCAATTTTGAGTCAGTGAAGCTGTAAGGTGCCAAAGTGAAAAATGAGGTATTGTTCCTTGAGCTTGTTTGCTGGAATATTGTAGTGCATTCTACCAAATTGTTAGAATGAGAGAAAGATGTTTTTTTGAAATGC